ACTGATCCTTAGGGAAAATTATGGTGGAAGGTGGCAATGGACCTGGACCCAACCCGATATTTGCCAAGTAGACCCGACCCGGGTCTGGGTCCATGTAGACCCAACCCTAGTAGTTATGATATTTAAATAATATTTAATATACAATATTTAAATGAATAAACCTATATATTTAGAGTCATAATATTTAAACAATACATATTTATATTTAACATATTTATGATATGTATTTAAAGATATAAATATTTTGAATTTTGTGTCAGGACTGGGTTCGGGTCTACATTATAATTTTAAGTCTGGGTCTGGGTTTGGGTCTGGCCAGACCTGACCCTTTGGCAACCCCAAATTTCCGACCCCAAAAAAAGGCATCCCAAGAAACCCCAATCTTTTTTGGCGGTATTAAACAATAATTATCATTGTCTTTCTCCTAAACAAACACCCCACGTGCTTTGTTAATGTATTTTTGGAGGAAAACAACCTTGCTCGCTAATTATGTTAGAAAAAGGAGAAGATATCTTAAGCCAAAAGATACTCTATTCTCTAGGAGTAAATTGTTCATTTATTGCCTTAGGTAAAACCCCACCTAAGATTAGTTTAAGGACCCCAAATTTTGGGAATATAACCTCTTTAAACATAGATCAGCCTCAATAAAAAAACATTTTCCTAATTGCACCCTTTAAGCACTTGAAAGTACTTGAAAAAAATAATGTCTCAAGATTGAATAGAAACCATCTAATTTTTAGAAGGTGAGATCCAAGAGTTAGAAAACCTTTTTTTTTTTTGTTAAATAATAATAGTCATCTAGTGGTATAAGGTGGTTACCAAAATTTCAGATTGAAAGAAATCTTCCCAAGTAGGCCATTTGACTGAGAGAGTAGAAGAAAATTATGCTCCCCAAGGAACATAGTATACGTGCTATTATCTTGAAACGCATTGAGATTCTCTCAATCTCTCTAAAAGCATTACTCTCTCTCTATTATGGTTCTGGTAGTGTATTTTTCCAGCCAAAAATGGCTTAATAATATAAAAAATTAGAGGATTTCATTTTTAGAAGGGTAGAAAATTCCTATAAAAGACTGGGTTTTAGGTATCATCATTTTTGACAAAGAATAATCCTATTCAATCATAGATTGAGCTAATTATTTGAACTTCCATTCCTATGTAAAGCCTCTAGCTCTAATCATGGCTTTATGAAACCTTTATTCACCTCCATGCACCCGTGTAGAAACCCCACGGTTTGAAAAAAAAAGAAGCACAAATCCTTTGAAAATCCCTTCGTATCAAACCCAATTCCAAACGAACAAATGTCAAGGGCACGTTTCATGAAATATTTTCACGTGTAAAATATTTCTCATGCAGTTAAATATGTGAATATTTTCGCACCTATTAAGTGTCAATTGGTGTGAAAATGTATAGTGCGACTATCTAATTGGTGTGAAAATATTTTCACATTTAACCGCATGAAAGAATTTTTTCAGGTGAAAATATTTTTCGATAAATGCTTTCACATGAAAAAACATGTCAAAGCACCATTCAATCATCTCTTTTTTACATATGAAATCTCAAAAAACTAAGATTTGGAATCAATGTCTCCCTATGCCAATACGAAGGTACAAGCTATTAACAACATATTCTGAATTAAGGAATTGGGCTTGGGCTTGGGCTTAGGCTTGGGCTTGAGCGCTTGATTTCAAACTATTTTTTGAACAAACCAAAGCCCAAACACTTGTAGCAAGAAGAAAACTTCCGACCTCCACCTTTTGCCACAGGTAAAACTTCAAGCAAAAACAACCCGATCTTTCACCGTAGATAAGTTGTCCCTTATCAAGAATCAGGCTTGGGCTTGAATGGTTAGCAGCTAACGTATAACATTGATCTATCTTAAGTTCGATTCTTACTTCAGAACTACCTAAAAAAAGAAGAAGAGAAAAATAAGTAAGTTTTCACTTCTCAATGATGCATGTTCCCATGCCATAGATAAAATTTGATGACTTTTAACATGGTTTGAGTGAGCCTAAGGGTAACTTCAGAAATGTTCTATAAACGACCTTCGGCACTTTTGTCAATACTTTCTCCTAATCCTCACTTTCTGACCTAGAGCGAATGATCTCTCCTATATGTATACCAAATGATTTCTGATTGATAAATTTGGGAAAGGGGCCGAGGTTGTGGAGGGAGCACACCTTATATTTCAGTTGCACGTTGTGACTTTCATTTTCATTGAGGTATTAAAAAATCACTGATTAATTAAAAAACGGGGTATGGGACTTGTTGGTTCCAATAAAAAATAATAAATAAATAAAATCAATAAACAACTTATTAGGATATGTCTTTAAATCATACGAGGGATAATGTTCCATACTAAAACTATAAACCAAGCCATCCGGTGACAGGCTATCTTAAGAATCCTCTTTGGTGAATCTCATTCACCCTTTTTCTATCGTTTTTTTTTTTATATTTACTTGAGGGGTTAATATCTTTTTATAAAGAATCATTCAATTTTTAACTCTCACATTCATGGTCTATAAAAGTTGAGATCCAAGTATAACTTCTGTCTTAATTCCTTTAAGTGCAGCTAATTAAGATTAACAAGTCGTCACTAAACTATCAATTATATGTAATGAGTTAAACATGTCATTAGTGCACTAACGATTCACATAATAGGATGCCATCCAAGCATTTTTATAGTTTGATAAAAAATATATTTAGATTTTAAATAATTTTGTACAACTATGTTACATAAAAACAGTGCTTACAAGGATTCCAAATATATCACTGGGTTTTCCCTCAAGTGTAACATCCTATAAAAACTCTAAAGTGGATCTTAGTATATGGCATTGCTTCACGTCAACCACACGAGATTTTACATATACTATACACTATAGCGTTTGTACCATTATTGAAAAATAAATTCTCAAAAAAAAAAGGGTAAAAACCACGTTTCCAGCATGACTGTCATTTTCATTTGAATTACCCAAAAATAAATAAATATAATTTTATTTAAAAAAAAACTAAAAAATTTGAACTCCGCTAACTGGCGTGCAATCTTTGACCGCAGTTAGCAGAGTTTCGCAAGCTTTTACATTGATTCGTCAGTTTCCTTGGATAAAATTGGATTTAAATGTTTTGAGAACCAAAGCTGAATGATGGCAAGTCAACAGGATCCCTGTATTCCCGAAAAGGTCACCTTTAGGCTACGACTCAGATTTTTTTTTACTTCATGATTTTTTTTTTTTTGCATATCTTCTCTAAAGGTTTTCTAAAAAAGAAAAAAAAACTTTATATAAGGTTACAAGTACAACCATATGCCGTTGAAATAATGTGTATCTTATAAAAAAATCAGAGTATTCCCACATTCCCTCAAATTGATTATCTCAACCTCTAGATGCGTGGATATGTAAAAAAAAAAAAAAAAAAATTTTCAAATATTAAAAAATAATGTATCTTGTAACAAATTATCCATAGCATTTATTTTTGAGATTTTTGAATGTTTATAAATTTGTTTGATTTTTATTGTTTTTAAAATTTTAACTTTTATAATCGAAGACAAAAATAAATTTTCAAGCTATCATAAAGTTTCCAACATCAAACCTACATCACCAAGCAAATTTTAGAAATGCACCTTATTGCTAATGTAGAAAGAGGGTACCTTATTCAAACCTCACTTTTCTAAAAAATGCCCAAGTTACCCATATCTACGATTGAGAAGCCGAGGATCTAAACAATCAAATTAAAGCTCACCATCAAATAGTATCGTGAAATATAGTTTCAATATTGAAAATCTTTGTGATAGCCTTAAAATATATTTTCATCTTTAATTATAAAATTTAGAGCTTAAAAATAGTGTAGATCGAGCAGTTATAAAAAAACTTAAAAATCTTGAAAATTGATAGTCAAAAAATGGGTAACAAAATGCATTATTTGCAAATCATGAAATCCATTTTTTTCACATGTCCATACATTTTGATATTGAGATGATCAATTTATGGATATTTGGGAATCAAAACAACCATGTCCATACATTATGATATTGAGATGATCAATTTATGGATATTTGAGAATCAAAACAACCATATCCAGTTAAATTTTTGAGGTGGGTTTTAATTTGATTGGGTCTGTACAAACTCTTTCCTTTTGGAATTGGATCCATCCAAGCGTACCACTACCGTTGAAGGTGGGAAAAATAATCCATATCGCTTTAAGTATTCTTAAAGATACTTTTTGATGAGCAATTGAGTTAAATAAGGATTTGAAAAAGTAAATCGTCTAATGTAATTAAGATCTATTGACCCCTTAAAGGAGCATTTAAAACTAAATGAGGGAAAGTTATTGCATCTCGTAGGTACCTTTTATAAATTTTTACCTTTATTTTATTGCAAGAACAGGGACTTCATTGAAGGCCGTGGGTCGCTTGGTCGTTCAACAAATGATTTTAAGGCATTTCAGTCCGTTATTTAATTTTCCCATTTAATGAATGCATGGAATTGCGTGCTTTTTTTATTTTTTATTTTATTTTATTTTCAAGTGCAACAACGGCGTTCATGGTTTTACCCCATAAATAAATGTAACGTCACAGCTTTTAATGATCTCTCGCCTCCCCCTCTTTCTGTCTCCACTCTTTAAAGGATTGCTCTCTCTCTCTCTATCTATCTATCTACCTTTTAAGCAGAGCTCTCTTTCTTTCTCTCTCCTACCCTTTCTAGCAGGGTTGTTTAGCGTTTTTTTTTCAAGTTCTTAGACAAAGTGGGCAAATCCCTAATCCTTAAGTTGGAATCCGGTTGGTTTTGGGACGGAATCCGGTTCGTTTTCCGGCCAAAGAGGAGAAACATTTGGTGATAAGGAATCCTGCAAATCTAAGTCAAATATGATGAAGCTTTGGGTGAGGTATGGAAATTAGAAAGCTGATTTGTTTTTCTTGCTTTGTGTTCTTGATGAAATGGTGAAAGAAAGCTGTTGACTGTGATTTTCGGTTGTGTGTGTGTCGATTACAGGAGGTTGGGTTTGAGGAATTTGAGTAAGAGTGCCTGTGCTTTCTCCTTCAACCAGCTCAGATTCTCCTCAACTGAAACCAGAAGGTATGCTCTCTCTCTCTCTCTATATATATATATATATATATATATATATATATATATATATATACTACACTACTACGTACAGTACTATACGAACAACGTACTCTTCTCGTCTACTCTACTAATCTAC